GATTTCTTGCAAGAAGTGAGTATTTAATTGACAAAATTAGCAGACATTGGCAGAGTTCCGCCTTTTGTTGCTACATATTAATAGAATGACTCTTTTGTACCTTTTCAGGTCACATCAAAGAAGGATCAGAAGCAATATTGGGCTAGAAGGGATCAACCATATCGTTTTGTTACGACTAAGGAGTTTGCTGAAGCTTTTCAGTCGTTCCATGTGGGAAGAAAGATTGGAGATGATTTGTCGGTTCCTTATGATAGAACCAAGAGCCACCCTGCAGCTCTGGCAACCAAAAAGTATGGGATTGGGAACAAGGAGCTTCTCAAGGCCAACTTCGCAAGAGAGTTCTTGCTGATGAAGAGGAACTCATTTGTCTATGTCTTCAAGCTTACACAGCTATTCATCATGGCACTGCTTGCTATGACAGTCTTCTTCAGGACCGAAATGCATCGAGACACGGTCCAGAATGGTGGAATCTTTGTTGGTGCTCTCTTCTTCGCACTTATTATGATCATGTTTAACGGAATGGCTGAACTTTCAATGACCATCGCAAAGCTCCCGGTGTTTTACAAGCAAAGGAATCTGTTCTTCTATCCACCATGGATATACTCCATTCCGCCATGGATCCTGAAGATTCCAGTCACCTTCCTTGAAGTTGCTGTTTGGGTCTTCATGACTTACTATGTCATTGGTTTCGATCCTAACTTTGGAAGGTAATTTAAAAACTTTTGAGATTTTAATTCTAATATTTCAATCCATATTACTCAATTTCTTCCTAAACTCATCATGTGTTTTTACATTGATATGATGATAATGCAGGTTGATTAGGCTGTATGTCCTGCTGGTAGCAATTAATCAGATGGCATCTGCTCTCTTTCGATTCATCGCCGCAACTGGAAGGAACATGATCGTTGCCAACACTTTTGGCTCATTTGTTTTGCTTCTTCTCTTTGCACTGAGCGGATTTATCTTGTCACGAGGTTTGTTATTAGTTAACATTTTTTATCTAGTTGACAAACAATATAAAGTGTTCTTTGTAATTCCTTATGTATTTAATTTTCTTTTTGGTTTCACAGAGGACGTGAAGAAATGGTGGATTTGGGCGTATTGGGCAAACCCTATGATGTATGGGCAGAATGCAATAGTAGTCAATGAATTCCTTGGACACAGTTGGAGACATGTAACTTCCTTATTCTCTCCTTTCTGACCTGTTTTGCACATATATAGTCGTCAATGAATTACAGTTGGACTAATTTCATCCCCATTTTCCCTCCTTATATCCAGGTTCCAGCAAACTCAACAGAATCACTTGGAATTCAAGTGCTGAGGTCTCGTGGGTTCTTCACAGAGCCGCATTGGTATTGGCTAGGAGTGGGAGCAACTCTGGGATTCCTATTCCTATTCAACATTTTTTTTGCTTTCGCTCTTACTTTCTTGGACCGTAAGTAACCACCCACCCAAGTATTTGATGTTTAAGTTCATGCTTCTAGTGCAAGAAACCTTTTGTTTGCTAAATTTTGTTATGATATGTTAAAATGAACAGAGTTTGAGAAGCCACAGGCTGTCATACCTGAAGATGAAGCCACCAATTCAGCAGGAGCCATTGAGATGTCAACTGGTGGTTCGTCCATAACCGCAGCTGCAGATGATGAAGCCACAGGAAGCAAGAAGAAAGGGATGGTTCTGCCATTTGAGCCTCATTCCATCACTTTTGATGACATTGTATACTCGGTTGATATGCCAGAGGTTAGTTAATACAAATAGAAGTAGCTATCATTAGAAAGCTTGTAGGCTTTGTTCTTGTCATTTGGGATCAAGATTAACCAACCATTTCCATTTCTCTTTCACCTCCAGGAAATGAAAGGCCAAGGTGTTGCTGAAGATAAACTGGTGCTTCTGAAGGGTATTAGTGGTGCTTTCAGACCAGGTGTTCTGACAGCTCTTATGGGTGTTAGTGGTGCTGGTAAAACCACTCTCATGGATGTGCTTGCTGGAAGGAAAACCGGTGGCTACATTGAAGGAAACATCACCATTTCTGGATTCCCCAAGAAGCAAGAAACTTTTGCTAGGATTTCAGGTTATTGTGAGCAGAATGACATCCATTCTCCGCAAGTTACAGTGTATGAGTCTCTAGTCTACTCAGCTTGGTTGCGTTTACCCCAAGAAGTTGATGAAAAAACCAGAATGGTAAGCTTTCCATCCTGAATTACACCTACCTTAACAAGTTCCTGTCAACTTCTGATTTATTTGCGTTAAGGCAATAATTCAGTATGAAATTCTAACTTGCATTTATATATAAAACAGATGTTTGTTGAAGAAGTGATGGATCTTGTGGAGCTAAACCCCTTACGTAACTCTCTTGTTGGACTCCCCGGTGTGAGTGGGTTGACTACCGAGCAACGCAAGAGGCTAACAATTGCGGTAGAACTTGTGGCAAACCCATCCATCATCTTCATGGATGAGCCAACCTCAGGATTGGATGCTAGAGCTGCTGCTATCGTCATGAGAACAGTAAGAAACACCGTGGACACTGGTAGAACTGTTGTGTGCACCATCCATCAACCCAGCATTGACATTTTCGAAGCTTTTGATGAGGTAAATTACTGTTTATCAGTAAGCATAAATTATTAGAAGCAAGTAAACTACAAACCAGTTTTTGAGATTGTTCTTTTCCGTGACTGGTCATTTGCAGTTGTTCCTGTTGAAGAGAGGAGGACAAGAGATATACGTCGGCCCTCTTGGCCGCCACTCCACCCATTTGGTGAAGTACTTTGAGGAGATAGAAGGAGTGAGCAAGATCAAAGATGGTTACAACCCAGCAACATGGATGCTGGAGGTGACCACTACAGCACAAGAGATAGCTCTAGGTGTCGATTTCACAGATGTATACCGAAACTCGGATCTCTACAAGCGAAACAAGGCCTTGATCAAGGACTTGAGCAAAGCAGCCCCAGGAGCCAAAGAACTCTACTTCCCAACACAATACTCGCAACCATTCCTAACACAATGCATGGCTTGCCTGTGGAAACAGCACTGGTCTTACTGGCGTAACCCGCCATACACCGCTGTCAGGTTCATGTTCACAACCTTCATTGCCCTCATGTTTGGAACCATGTTCTGGGATCTCGGTGGCAAAACATCGAGGAACCAGGACCTGTTCAACGCGATGGGAGCGATGTTCGCAGCAGTGTTGTTCCTCGGTGTCCAAAATGCATCCTCAGTACAGCCTGTGGTAGCCATTGAAAGAACTGTGTTCTACAGGGAGAGAGCTGCTGGGATGTACTCAGCTCTGCCTTATGCCTATGCCCAAGTGATTATCGAGATCCCTTATATTCTGGCACAGGCTTTGGTCTATGGAGTGATCACATATGCCATGATTGGATTCGAATGGGACGCGAAGAAGTTCATGTGGTACATCTTCTTCATGTACTTCACACTCCTCTACTTCACTTACTACGGGATGATGACCGTCGCCATCACGCCAAATCACCACATTGCCTCCATCATCTCATCCTTTTTCTACTCCATCTGGAATCTCTTTGCCGGATTCATCGTCCCTAGACCTGTAAGTCAATTTGATTTCTTATCTCTTCACTACTATAGCATCATCATCAAGAGAACTGTAACAAAGTAATTGATGAACTTCATTCATTATGTGCAGCTCATACCAGTGTGGTGGAGGTGGAACTACTGGGCCAACCCGATCTCGTGGACATTGTACGGGCTGATTGTTTCGCAGTATGGAGATGTGAGGACGCCCATGGAAGGAACTGGGGAAGCTGTTGAAGATTTCTTGCGGAGCTACTTCGGGTTCAAGCATGATTTCTTGGGAGTCATTGCTGGTGTCATGGTTGGATTGGTAGCTGTCTTCGCCTTCATCTTTGCAATCTCCATCAAGTCTTTCAACTTCCAGAGAAGATAGATTTTGAGAGCCGAGGGAGTATAAATTACTCAAACCCATTACATCCACTTTGCCATTTTTGTTGTAAGTTATTAATTCATTTGTTGTAAGCTAATGTGATATAAGCAAAAAATAGAGTGTGTTATTTCATTTTGGAACAATTTGGAGCGACAGAGCACAATGCCTGTGAAATATTGTGTTGTAAAATTGTTTTGCTAGTAAATAATGTTACATTTTTGTTCTTTTCATCTGCCATGGATGGGAGAAATTGTCTCCTTGAGTTACAGAGAGATTCTATTTGGATAGTTGCCTCCCTGAACAGGCAATGGTTTTCCTGATGGCTGACTACTGAAGGGGGGATTGTGCTTATGCAGATTGCCGTATCTAATCCTGTTAGGGGATCACAGTAGGATGAACAACCATCCTCATCTCTAAACAGAACTTCTCAAGAGGAGGGGGGAAGACTGGATTATTAGGATTTTATGCGATTTGAACTAGGTCAAAAGTCTATTAGCACAATGTGATAGTTAAACTTAAAATGATTGGTTTAGTCCACCCCTTGGAACATACTACAGTGTGAGGTGGTGAAGAGCCGATATCGAGGTGTCAAACCTTCCCGTCATTGTGAGCTCACGAGAAAGATTAATATGCTGTCCATAGTAATTTTTATCCGCTGAGCAATGACTCTTCCGCTCGACATCGTTGGATCTAGTTCTGCCTCAAATGGAAATTATGAGGATTTCATTGGAGTGCAATTTGGAGCATGGTGATGGTAAATGTATATGCTGCACAGTTTTTGTGAATATGGAAGTCATTGAATTTGGTGATGGTCATTTACGTCCAAGTTAGATTGACTATATTGACTTGCCAATTTGATTCATAGGTTCGAGAATGGAATTATAGAGTTTGATTTCGATTGTGGATGATGACGGTCCTATTTTTTTTTTTTTGGTGGAATGATGATGGCCCTATTGATTATGTATCTATCTATGATTCAAGTTATCCATCGAGTGAAAAAAGTTAAAAGATAATTTATAGGTACTAAATGTGGAGAACAGGTTGAATTAGCTGACTTTTAAGACAATAGATAATCCGTCAACTTTACCCAGGTCTTTGCTTTTCCCTCTGCTTTTTGTTGTTTTGAACAGAGTTGTTCCGCCATAGCTGTTAGTTGGTTAAGAGACTTCCTGCTCCAACTTTCTTTACATCCTGTTTCAGCATGCTAGTTCCTTAAGCTTCACGCTTAATTGCTCGTGACAGCTTTGGTTGCAATTTCTCTTGCAATCACAGAAGTTGGGCTCCCATTTCTGAATCCACTTGACCGGGGAATCAAGTAATTTCAAATATTAGGGTTTGGTTTCCCCTTCTTTTTTGGTGATTCTCGGGCCGAGCAGGCTTTACCCAAATGAGTGGAGATTGCCTGCAGTTTGAAAACCCCATTGGCGATGGCGTCTCCAGGATCCGATTCGCTCCCTCCTCCAACAATCTCCTCATTTCTTCCTGGGATTCGGTTAAGTATTGGCCTTTTATGCACAGTTCTTCATTTTTTTCCTTCTGTTCGTATGAGGGAAGTGACAGCTCAATTTCGAAAGTGCAGAATCTCCGGTTGTACGATGTGGATAGCTCCAGAGTTAGACTCGAAGCTTCAGTAGGTTTTGCGCTGCTGGATTGTTGCTTCGGCGCAGAGTCTTTGGCATACAGTGCCGCTTCTGATGGTTGCATTAGAAGGTTAGAACTTGTATAGTTATATTACTGCCTCGTCCTGTTATTTATTTGTGCCTGTTCAGTGTTCAGACCCTGTCTTGTTCCTTGCTTAGTTTCTTTTACCAGTGGTACTATAGATGTAGATGCTGCATTCGTAGTTAGGTTTCGTTTGAGCTCGGACTAGTTAGTGATGTTTCTCAAGGTTTGATGGAAATCTTGCTAGGTGTGACTTGCATTCTGGGAGTTGTGATGCAATTGGGCATCATGAGGATGTAGCAACTTGCGTCGTCTACTCGGATGAAACAGGTCTGCTGGTTCTTCTTACAACTGTCAATCAATAATGCCGTCATTGAGTAATGGTTGCTCTCTTCTGTTGTGGTGATTTTGTTCCATGTGTGATGTGTAATGCAGAGGCAATGTAGGAGGCAGCTGCCAGTCACTACATGAATCTGAAGTCAATTTCATGAGTGGAATTTTGAATTATGTCTTCTCTGTTCTTGACCGTAGGCCAAGTTATTTCGACTGGTTTGGACAAGAAGATGGTATCGTGGGATACACGCTCCTCAAAAAGTTCACATGTGAGACATATGGGTGCAGAAGTGAAGGCCATGTCATTGTCTGGGCGCTATATAAGTGTTGCCATTGGAGGGTCGATAGAAACGTATGACTTGCGTTATATGGAAGGACCGGCTTGTCTTACAAATTCTTGTTTTGATGTTCGAATAAGATCCCTTTGCTCAGTTCCTTATTGTAAAGGTATCGTTTATTATTATTACTACCAATAGCTTAGAATGAATGATCGAACATTTTATATATTCTTCAGCTAATAGCTATCTAATAGATAACTTGTTTGCTGTATTCGTATTCCTACCCGCCATTGAGTCATACGGCTGTTTTTACCTTTCATCCCTTACTGCTCTTGGTTCTTAACAGTTTCTGAATGGTTATGTTGTCATAGGGTATGCAGCTGGTTCAGTTGATGGAACAGTGGCACTGGAGATATCCAATCCAACAACTTCAGAAGTGACACGGTTGGTATTCTGTAAAATTTTCTGCAGACTGTGCTTTGATTTGCTTGTTGTTTCTATCGTATACTCCAAGCTAGCTTCCCCCCTACTATCACATGCGCTTGAAATCTGAAAAGCACGATGCAAGCAATTCATTGAATTTGGTTTGAACAAGTCATACATCTTTGTACTATCTGCTTCTCTTATAAAAGCCTTACATCTGTTTTTACTTCAAGCAGTTAACCAATAGGAAAACATACAGGTTTCACTTAATAATTTAGATGAATTTTTTAAACAAAGTTTACTTATTTTCGAGGAATATATGACCACTCTGGAAAAAGAATGTGTTGCAGATGGCTTTTGAGTAGGTATATGTCCCTTTGCATTAAGGTCAAATCATTTCATGTCACTTAACTGGAAGTTGGTGCGTTAATCTTTCTACAGCTATGCTTTCCGCTGTCATCCCAAATCAGCAGATGGGAAAAAACATCTAGCTGCCATCACTGACGTACAATTCAATCCAAGGTATGTATACTGATCTAATAATTGTCTGTCGTGATTAAGGTTTGCTAAAGTCAGGGCTAATTCTTTTTCTCCTTTTGTATTTGTTTCTGTTTTAGTATCTTTGGTGCTTTTGTTACTGGTGATAATCGAGGCAATCTCCTAGCATGGGATGCTCAAAGCAAAAGAAGGTTATTCGAGGTATGTTGCATCTAATTCCAACAAGAAATTATACCATGCAAACAAACTTATGCCCTGGTTCATTATCCCAGTGCTATTGACTGTTACCTTCTCTTTCTTTTCAGTTTCCACAATATCCAACCGGTGTTGCGTCTCTTGCATACAATTGTAATGGACAGCTTTTGGCTGTTGCATCAAGCCATACATACCAAGAAGCAATTGAGACGTACGCTGTTTCTTCCGTTGAGAAAGTCTTTGGTATCAGATTACTACCTGTTTGTTAAAATGTTTTTGGTTTTGGCTTTGTTTGAACAGGGAAGTTGTGTCCCCCCAAATTTTCGTATGCAAGGTGGGAGATCCGTAGTATAGAATCATTTTCTGGTTTTGATTCTACCACTACATAAAGGTCTTCCATTCCATCCACTTGCTGAGCATGTAATGGGACAGGCCAATCGAATGAGAAGCATGGTAAGCGCATGAAGAAGTATTTAAAGGCTGACCAAGTATGGAAATTTGCATCACCGGAGTGGCTACAATTTGTGAGTTGGCTTCGAGGTGACCTGCCTTATTGCTGAATGTTCTCTGCTAGTGGAGCTGTAACTGTTGTGATATAATTTTTAGTTTCCTGTCCTTGTGCTTTTGTTTCTCTCGTTGCTGGGTTTCATGCTCTCGAGCTCGACTACAGAATTTTCTGGAAATGGTTATTGAACAGCTTGATTCCACATTCTGGACATGCCTTACGGATTCTATGTCTCGGACTTGCCTGCTCTTAGGTGATTCTACATACTTGACTTGCCTTGGGTTCTACATTTTGGAATCGTGCTATGCCTCAAGATACTGATCTTTAATGGGATCTTACTACGGGTTTTATGTTTGGTTAGGGCTCTCCAATTTGCTATATTTTAACAGAAAGAATACCCAGTAAGTAGGCTGGCACTAAGCCACTACGAGGGTTCTAACTTAAACCAATGGGTAACCCTCTCCATTGCAAGCAACATTCGACCTTGTTCAGATTAGGTTGACCTCTAGAGTCCTGAGCCAAACCATTGAAAACTACCCGATGCAGATATCATAGTACGAAAGCTGTTTGCAAGCATTACCGACAGGCTGAATTACGTAGGTCGTAGCTCAGCTCCATAAAGAAAAGTCGGAAACGATCTATATGATAACAGACTCAAACTACCATACCAATGTATAGAGTAAAGAAGTGCCTTCTTCCAACAATTACAAGCCATATTTACAATAAGCAAGTCCCAGATTGTTCAACGCTTGCTCCCATTAAGATCAATTGATAATTTGGAAGGCCTTATGGAATGTATGTCCAGACATAGAAGTAGTTCAACCTTGGTAGATGACCGAAGGCTGCCGCTAGGCAGAGCCCTTGAGGGTTGATGGTTCATCAAAATCAGCAGCTGTGCTATCGTCTACGGCTAACTTGCCATCCTTTTCGACTTCATCGAAGTAGTCTTCTCGAACATTGGCAGCCAACATGAGTGCAACCAGCCAGAAGAGAGACGAATCAAGAGAGACAAATGCACCACCTCCCAGGAGACCAGTCTTAGCAGTTGGGCACGCGGTCTCCAAGTTGCGATGAACGTTACGCGACAGGTGAAGTTGCTCTGTAATAGTCGGCCACAACAGCAAGGCTGCAGCTAAACCACCCGTGAACCTGCCAAATACATTCACACAAAACTCTTGAACTCTGCAATCAAACTGGCGAAAGAGCTGATCTAAGACTGTTCTAAACTCTAAACCAAGAACATTTGAGTTGCAGCTCTAACTCGGGCCGGAAAACAGAAGCAAAATCTCATGCGAATCACTGGTTTCAGAGTCCTAAGCCATGATCACACGATGGACTGAAAGGGGTAAGTGAAGCTCTCAGAACTAAGCAAAGAAGCCATCATATTGTTCATCCAAATCCGAATTCTAAACTCCCCATAGAAATTAAGTAAAGGGCTGCCCAAGTGGGAACATGAAGGGAAAAAACTGCATAGATCCAAAGTAGACGCACGTAGCCAAGTCAACTGTCGAAATAATAGACTTCTCTAGTGCAGCAAGTTGAGTGTGCGTATGGGCATTTAAAGCATAGTTATGGAGAAAGTAGAATACAAGCAAAACCCACAACTTGACTGCCATATTCATATCCTTTCTGCACATCGCCTGGTTCTAGTGGGAATGTATTCTTTACAAATCAGGCCAACCTTCCTTGGGTTGAATGAACTGATTGCGGCAAACCATCCCACCTACCAAGCAAGAACATGACCCTATTCTATGACTGTAACTTGAAAAAAGGCAACCATCCGAGCAAGAACTCACAACCACTAATCTAAGTGACAGCAGAATAACCACATAACTACGCAATTTATTCTATAAGTTAACAGCTCAAACTACAGAAGAGCGGGCTTACAGGGCAATGTTGAAGAAGATGAGAAAACTGGTGCTGCGGAACATGGCAGATTGAGGGACGGACTTCCCCTTGTAAGGGTAAAACAGGGAGAAATATCCAGCCACCGTCGACGCTATCAGAAACGCAACGGACAGGAACCCCAACACCACCGTCGCATCCGCCGGATACTTGCAGATCACCACACCCTTCCCGGTAATCGGAGTCCCGGCAGCCGGCTACCGCAAGAAAAACGGGGGGAAAAAAATCTCAAATCAAACCCTGGAGAAATGACAAACCAGAACCAGAAAAAGGAAAGAAAAAGGGCGTTGGACCGATTAGAAGAAGAGCATACCTTCTTGTTCTCGGCGATGACGCCGAATAGGAAGGAGAGCGCGCCGAGACCGGCGACTAGCAAGGACATCAGCTTCATCGTGACCGCCATCTCTACGGAATTTCAGTACAGAAATGAAAGGTTGAGCGAGAGAGAGAGAGAGAGAGAGAGAGGGAGGGAGAAATGGAGAATTGAGAGAAAATTGAACTCCTATGAAGAGGGAGAAAGGTTACCTGTAGATATATAGAAAGGGAAGGGGAGGGAAAGAAACAACGTTCGCCGGCGGAGAGAAAGAGAGAGTGACGGTGACGGTGAAAGGGAGGTGTGGACTCTGCTGCGTCTGTCTGCCAATGAATCTGTGGGAATTTATTGTTGACTGCAAAATTGGTTGGACAGCTAACAACGCAACTAATACACACAAACAGGTACGAGAATATACTACTAGTTAACAAAATTAACTTTTCGGGGACTGTTATTGGAAATTGCCATTTTCGGCTAAGCTAAGATTCTCCCGTCCCTGAACGTTTGGTGTCTTCTACATTCGGTCCTCCAAACTAAATTTTCTTCTCCTATTCCATTGACAGAGTCAACAATAGACGGCCAGATACAATGCTTCTCTCTTCCTAAGTCCTAACAGCTAATCTCTCTTGAACAGCTAAATGGTTGCCTTGTTTAGCTATTTACTAATTGATCCCATTTGTTGGTAACTGGCTGGGATGAGGGCTACTGATTTGTTCTTTCCATTTGTCATCTTCCCCCCCTCAATTTCTTTTTTAAGGCTTTCTTTTCTTTTTTATTCGGCGAGATGCTTAAAATGTGTTGTAAGTTGTAACTTTTATGGTTTGGTTAACTTTTTAGGCTCCAAACCAATTTAATTAAAATGCAGCAACAATTCAAAAGGGGTCACATATTGGAAGGAGAATATACAATGTTGTAATCCGAGTATGAACAAGTGTAGTGAACAATTTATTTTTTACTGGTTTTATTGGTATTAGACCGTTAGAAAATCGTTATGAACCGGTGTCCAATAAACAAGAATATTATAAAACTATTATTGTGGAAAAAAGAAAACCCACTCTTGAACCAGGGGTGGTCGGTAAATTCCTATTCAGATTTGCGTCTTAATCTCCATTCTTTCTTTCTTTCTTTGCATTTCTATTTTTGTTTTGTTCAATTGTTGTTGATGAATCTGGATCTGTTACTTAAATCACTGTTTCTTTGCATTTGAGTTTGGTTCGGAAAGTTACAAGCTGATTTGTGTAAAGTTTATGTCATGGTTCTGGTTATTTGGGTGTATGATACACTACCAATTGTTTCTGTATTGCTTTCTTTACCCAACTTTGACAAACCTTTAGTGTGGTTTATAACGTCCTTGTAGGAGAGCCTTTAAACTTGTGGCTTGCTATTTGCCGCAAACCAAATTCTTATTTGCCGCCAACCAAAAAAAAAAAAGTATATATGTACATCTTTGGTTAAGGAGTTTCACAATCTACAACATATCCAACTTTCAGAGAACGTATTGAATCAGAAAAATTCAACGCTCGCCGGAAAATTCGCCGGAAAGTCGCCGGAAAATCATCGATGAAAAAAAAGAGTATAAATATACATCTTTGGTTAAGAAGTTTCACAATCTACAACATATCCAACTTTCAGATAACGTATTGAATCAGAAAAATTCAACGCTCGCCGGAAAAGTCGTCGAAAAATCATCGGGAAAGCCTATCCTCGACATATACTACGTACACGCATCCATGAATCATCACTAACCATCAGACAATGTGGGCAAAGTGCTACACGAACCATGTGTTTCAAACCCTGAACCCTGAACCCTGAACCCTAAACCCTAAATCCTAAACCCTGAACCCTAAACCCTTGGTGGTCGGCAGCGAGCCAGGCAGAGAGACCCCCGAAGAGCTAGGGGAAGGGGTAGGGGTAGGAGCAATGCATAGTGTTGCAATGCTCTATTTATATGTTGTTGTTTTTCTAGTTGTATTTTTAATGACCCTAGTGTCATTATGAACTTATGGATTTCATTATGGATTTCGAGCGAGTTAGGGGTCGATTGGACGAAGATCGGGCGCGAGGCAAGTCAAAAAGAAAGCCACACGGGCACACACACAACTCACACGGCCGTGTGAAGTTGCACTTTGGCCGTGTGGAATTCTACGAGGCTTCACACGGCCAGGCTGGGTGAGCTACACGGCCGTGTGAAGTTGCACTTTGGCCGTGTGGCACTCTGCGACGCTTCACACGGCCGTGTGAGGTGAGCTACACGGCCAGGCTGGGTGAGCTACACGGCCGTGTGGGAAGCCTGAATCCAATTACTCGGGCCGAAAAACTTTTGCGGCCGGCCGACGAACACGCCGCCGAAAAATTTTTGGCCGGTGTGTTCGGCGACCGGCCGAAAAAAATTCTTTCGGCCCGACGTCGCTCCGGCCGCAAATTTTTTTCGGCCGGCCGACGAACACGCTGCCGGAAAATTTTTGGCCGGCGTGTTCGGCGACCGGCCGAAAAAAATTTGCGGCCGAGGCATCGCTGGGCCGAAAGAATTTTTCGGCCGGCCGTCGCCCTGGCCACAAATTTTTTTCGGCTCGGCGGCGTCGGGCCGCAATTTATTTTGGCCCGCCGTGCTTTTCGCCTGAAAACTGGAAAACTTACCGGAAAACTGGAAAACTGGCAGGAAAAAGTAAACTTACTTGTTTTTCGACGATTGAGGGCGACGGGATGTTAGCCGACGACGGAAGAACGGTGTCGGCGACGGAGGCACTGGGAAGGAAGGGAAAATTCAAAATTTGAATTCATTTTTTTTTTTGCCGGCGACGGAGGCACTGAGAAGTAAGGGAAAATTCAAAATTTGAATTCATTTTGTTTTTAGTTGGCGGCAAATAGCAATTTGGTTGGCGGCAAATAGCCGTTCACTTAAACTTCTGGGTTTAATATTACTAGATAATAAAGCCCGTGCTACACGACGGGTTTCAATTTGTAATTTGTTTATCCTGATAAAAATATAGAATAAGATCACGTCAAACATATTGAAAGAG